AATTTTTTTTTTCAACGTTTATTTTTATTTTTGGGACAGAGAGAGACAGAGCATGAACGGGCGAGGGGCAGAGAGAGAGGGAGACACAGAATCGGAAACAGGCTCCAGGCTCTGAGCCATCAGCCCAGAGCCCGATGCGGGGCTCGAACTCACGGACCGCGAGATCGTGACCTGGCTGAAGTCGGACGCTTAACCGACTGCACCACCCAGGCGCCCCCTGTTTTTCTTTTAAAGTCGTGGTTTTCACATGTGGGTGGGCCTCCAGGGCTTCCAAGGAGCCCACTCATGGAACCGCCCTGCTTTGAACTCCACAGTTCCACTCTTATCTGTTTTGTATATTGAGCTTCCAGGTAAGGTAAGATTTTATCTGAACAAAAGATTAGAACATCTTATTGTTATTATTATTTCAGAACGTCTTTGACTGTCATTATAAATTTTACAGAAGTGCTAAAAGATTTAGCCACCGTAGCTAAACAGTAGAATAACTTCAGGTAGTGAGTGACTCTTAAACGAGGAATGGAAATGAACCCTTACGTTCCTTTTGGCCTTAGCATTATAAGATTTCCTATAATTAAGAAACACAGGTGATTATTTTTATTTTGTCTAGTACTATGCACAGACAACATTTAACAAATATAGAAAGTATGCTGGTCTTCTTGCAGAAACTTCTTAGTAACTTTCAAAATACTAAGGAGTAGCTAGAACTAACAGTAAAACTCTTGCTTCCTGGCTCCTGTCCTGGGCTTTCACCTTCTGTTCTGAAGGTCATGGCTGTCTGCCTTGACACTGAATCTACTATGAAGAGGAAGGAAAAGCAAAAAGGCAAAAGTAGATGCTGGAGCTCGTTTATATCCTCGTCAGCCTGTGAAGCACAGAAGCCGTACTGATTTCACTATTTCATTTAGTTCACTTCTACAAAGAACTAGTTTTTTTTTGTTTTTTAAATCTCAACCCCCTTAGAGTTAGGGTGGAACTTTTATGTAAAATGTCATGTGTGTCCATGTGGTAACTGTCTCCCTACAATGTGCGAGGCTGACAGGCCCTCCTCCTCTCTGTCCTGCCAAACGGCTCCATTTGTGGTAAACAGCAGAGACCTGGTTTGCAGCACCATTATTTCTTCCGAATTTCAATAACTTGTATTTGGCGAAACTAAGTATATTCTGACACACCCAGCAAAGCAGTTGGCTAGAAAGTAAATCGTTTTCCCCAGTGACTGGAAGGGCTGGTTTTATTTTCAGTGTCCTCTGTGCAAGTCAGTGTCAGCAGCTTGTTAGACTGCTCACTGCTCTGAAGTGCAAGCTGGTGGAAAAGCCAAGAACCCCTAAAGGTCAAGAAATGTGCTGTCAGAAGAGGGCTTCTGGACAGAGTGGGGAGCCGGTGACAGTGGGTCCTCCTGTGGTTCCTCACATGACTGCTCCCCAGTTTTCTGGGGAGCCCCAGTAATTCCTGATCCGAAGCAGCATACAATCTGTATTAATTAATCATTGCTAATTGGTGGCACTCTTCAGAGTAAAAGTCAGTCCTAGGAATCTTCTGAGGGTGTACAGTGAATGAGACGTTTTGCCTGGCTCAGTAATGTTGGGGTCAAAATACACCCTTGAGGTTTATTTAGTTCTGTCCCCCTGCCTCGTGTGTGTGTGTTTCCTTTTGGATGGAGACCCACTTTTCTTGTCCTACTAAACCACTTTATGCCCAGCTGTCATCTGTGTTGCAGTTGGTCTTACAAATCCCCAGCACAAGAGGCATGCTCAGCTATTATAACCAGGCAGAGGGGGTGCCTCTTCCAAACTGACAGGTGGCTCACAGGCCAGGCCATTCGTTGTGCACCTGACCAAACCCTTCTCTGGAAAATGTGGGTGTCGTGGCTGTCCTGTTGAAATTCCATGCAGTTCCGTGATGCTGGCTTCCAAGTGCTGGCTCGTCCCGCTCCAGAGGAATTACAACAAGATGTTCAGAGGGCACTGAACCACCCCTGCCCCCACACCCTACGTATCCAGTACTGTACAATCCTAGCGTTTTAGTCTTTGCCTTTGGATTATATCAGAACTACGAGCCATCTCTGGTTTTCATTTATGCTTTCCCAGTAAAGAGTCGGTTTTTACCTCAGTTCAGCTTTCAAAATTCTTAGTCCTGGGCATTCCAGGAGGGCAATAACTCAATAGGTTTCCTGTTAACTCAGCAATAACCCAAGATAGCACTTGTTTCAGCTTTCAGCTGCAGCGTCTGCCACACTGTTGATGAGGTTATTGCCTCCAGTGCCCTCCAGAGTGTCACCTAATTAAATCAGGCCTGGCAGTAAAAGGAAATGGTTTATCTGGTCTGTTTGCCACTAATATTCCTTATTCCTCGGCTGGAAAACACTGGTGACTCGAGGAGGTAACATATACTTTGGGACCTGGTCGCGTGTTCTAACAACACTTGTGTCCTTGATTTCTTATATGACCTACGCAAGCCACTTATTTCTCTAGGCCTAATTTGCTACCTCTCTGTACTGGGTTTAATGGTGTCTTCTTCATTCCTCTCTAGGAGGTGACTGTAGATAAACTGGACTGAAACATGATGATCAAGACAGGAGACACTGTCTAGGACTAATCTTGTGATGCTGATTGATACTTTTCTACTAAGAAATCAATCAGGAGATAGTCCATAGTATTAATTATTAGCATTCAGGCCATTAGGAATTGTTAGTGCAGGAATTTTCCATTTTAAGTTAAATGCTGATTGAACCCTGAAATCAAATTAGAATCTAAGAGGCTTCTGTCTCCCTGTCTCTGAGGAAGGTCAATCTTAGTTCTGTATTACTTCCCACCTCTAGCCCCCTAGGTTACTTTGCCTCCTCATACCCACCCCTGCCTCCCAATCTTTTTCTTCTTCTTCTCCCTTACCTGGGCCATCTTCTCAAGCTTGGACTTTATATCTGCTAGCTCTAGCTGGGCCTCTTGAAGTTTTGTTTTCAGTTTTTGGTTTTCGGTTAGGGCACTCTCGTAGAGCTGAGGGGAGGGAAAGAGAATCGGGTCAACTACTAGGCATGCCTCCCAGAATTAGAACCCACTCAGTTTCATCATATGAGAAACCCCCCAAACCATCACTGTGGGGCAGATGGAGAAAATCTAGGAAACAGAATACATTCAGCCAACTGGTTTCTTGCTTCGTAACACTGAAGTCCCAGGTCCCGAACACAAATACAATGGCTTCAATAATGTTAGTCTCTGGGGGAAAAATAGCCATTGTGGTTCCCCATACAAAGAGAATTATTTTATTTATTTATTTTTTAAAAAAAAAAATTTTTTTTTTCAACATTTATTTATTTTTGGGACAGAGAGAGACAGAGCATGAACGGGGGAGGGGCAGAGAGAGAGGGAGACACAGAATCGGAAACAGGCTCCAGGCTCTGAGCCATCAGCCCAGAGCCTGACGCGGGGCTCGAACTCACGGACCGCGAGATCGTGACCTGGCTGAAGTCGGACGCTCAACCGACTGCGCCACCCAGGCGCCCCTGAGAATTATTTTTTTTTAGAGCTGGCCTAGCGTGTATATTGATTTCAGTCAGGTTCTGCTTAACACAACATTAACAAAACAAACATTTCTAACAAAAATGGTTTTCTCCTCTGGTATCTAAGCACTTGAAAGGGAAGGTTTTAAAGTCTGCCCTGGGTGCTAGGTACTCTTCTGCAAGAACCAAAGGAAATGAACTGTAAAGTGTTTTAAACCCCCTCCAAACCAGATTACCATGTACTATCATCAAGAAGTATTTGGTTTGGCATTCACAGGACCTCATGAAAAGCATGTGTTCGTTAATAGTACCAGAGTCTACCAAATGATTCTCTGGGGCTCAGACACACAGCATGACTTTTATTTCCCCTTTCTACAATTGTCAATCTTCACTTTTTCCTACACCTCAACATATCTGATTCTAGGCATATATTTACTGCACTAAAAACAATACACGGAGTGGTCTTTAGGAAGCTGGTGGAGAGGTGGAGCAAACCGAGAACCTGAAAGGAATTAGATGCTACTGTTTGTCATGTAAACACCTTTTCTTCTGTCTCATCAGAACTACACTCATTTTTCTACACTGGGGAAAAGGCCAAAAGATCTGCATGTCGTAACCAAAGAACAGACAAGTTGACAAGGGATCCTACTTTTTTATAATCCCTGTTGGTGTCCTCTTCCGCTCGGCTGCTCAGGCTGGCGAGGCGGGCCTCCCGTGCCTCCCGTCGGGCTCTTGCTGAAGCCCGGTCACGGTCACCGTAAGAATCGCTGCTGGTAGGGTTGCTACCTCCTGATTCCAACCTGTGGGAGACACGTTAAAGGTAAACATTGGTTTTGAGAACAAAGAAATAGGATGAAGATAATGCTTAAGGGTAGTTTAACACCCTTTCTAAGAAACACTTGAATGCTCTGGCTGGAAACAACGCATGTTCCTTCCCTGAACCTCCCTCCTGTTCTCGGACTTCGGGGCTAAGCTGCGACAGCTTGGAGGAGGCTGTCATTTGCCAAGAATGGAGCTTACTTGAAAAGTCGGTGGTTTGGACCCATGTGCTGGCTTAAATCTTAGAGCTTTTCAAATTAGTTTAGGGTTGAATGGCTTTCCTCAAGAGTGAGCTTTTAAAAGCAGAAGTTTCTTGGATCTCAATGGCTCTTAGAAAATGATTCCAATGAACTTTCAATGAGTCAGAAACATATGGCCCCTGAGTTCTGAGCTGGAGGGTGGATGGGGGAGGAACGGAAATGAGGGCATGGTACGTACATTTTGTGAGGTGCACTGCAGGTTTGTTGGAATCTCAAGGATTTCAGGGTACCACCACCGTGCCCAAACAGCTGTTTTCTACCCTCCATTCTATATTCCACATTGAGACTGTTGGGCTATGATGAGGATTTCTACATCTTGCAGCAACTGAGCTCTGAGAGTGGATGGTAGTTCATTTTCAGTAGTGGTAAGTGCATGAAGGGCAGGGTCTGTCAGCTGATTAGCCATTTAAGTGCACAACTATCATCCTGATTCTTCGCACTGGCTTACGTTTTTCTCAGACTCTGTTCTTGCCAAATGAAAATGTGGCACACAAGACCGCTATGTACAAACCAGCCCTGCAGAGCTCTATATCCCCAAACCGGGACGGTCTGAACAGTCATGGCTGGGGAACTTCCATCTGAGGTCTCTGTCCTGTGGTAGCTATTGCCAAAGTTGGGGCTGGGGGAGCTGAAATAAGTATTAAAAGAAGTAGACGAGCAATAAGGAGGACACAGTGGGGAGAGGCAAAGCTCCTAATGACATTAACGATCGCTTTGTCTTACAGAGATGGTAAGCCCTACACCATTCTTCACAACTTTGTTTCTTCTTATGCTTCATTAAAAAAAAAAATGTAAATAGAAACCTCCTTACTGACTTTTCTGATTATAAAAGCAATACATGCTTGTAGAAAAATTTAAGTAGTACCAAAGTATCTAACATAGGAAGTGAAAGTCACTCCATAATCCTGCCTAAGAAATAACCCACTATTAACAGTTTACTTCGTATCCGTGCAAAAGGTTAAACACATAAATATGTTACAATATATATTGCTGTAAATAAAATCACATCATACAGTTGTCTAACTTTCTTTCTCCTCCCTACACTGATCACTATTCCTGGAGGCATCTTACTGTGTAAGTAAACATACATCTGCCTCATTAAAAACAAAATGACTGCACAGTCTTCCACCGTACTGCTGTATGATCATTTAATTCTCTACTGATAGACACCTAGATTATTTTGATGATGCTGTAGTGAGAAGACTGGTCTATAAATCTTAGTGCATTTGTCCATTTATTGTCTTTGGATAAAATTTTAGAAGTGAAACTCTTTAATCAAGGGGTAAGTATATTTTCCCACTTTTTATTTCTGTTTATGGCACCTTTTACTAGCAGAGATTTTAAATTTCATGTAACTAAATTTGACAATTTTTACCTGCCTGGGAGTGTCTCTCCTATATAAAGATTATAAATATTCTCTTCTACTGTTTTTGTAGTAAAATCTTTGTCTCTTAAAAACTGTAATCCATCTGGAATCTGGTTTTGTTTTTGTTTATTTGGTATGGCTTCAGGGAAGGATCTACTTTCCCAAACAGAGAGTCAGTTGTCCCAATGATTACTTATTAGATAACTCTTCCCCTGCTGAACTGGAAAATCACCTGATGCACAATGACTCTGGGGGGGGGGGGGGGGGCTACCTGCTGTGTTCCATTAATATCTTTGTTTATTCTTGAACTAGTACCTCACTGTCTTAACCATTATTTTTATAGCACATGTTGAGGTCTGTAGGGAAAGTCTCTTTTCATGAATGGCCATTATAATGTACCAGAATTCACAAAAAAACTAACTATAGCAAAATACTATTCTGCACCAATTTTACAAAACTAATTTTCTGCTAGGTTAGATGTAAATTATTTATCTTCAGCTGGTGCCTGGTGAGAGGGTAAGCAGGAGCAGAATGCATGCAAGCTGATACATTTTGAAATACACTATTAAGGTAGAACCAGCTCAATTATCAAACAAATCAAGACTCATTTGCTCTATGCTATCCCATAAATACATCTTCTCTCAGTCTCTTCTTAATTTCTCTATCAGAGGAGCAGTGGAAAAAGAGAGATTCATACTTTTGGCTCTACAGTCTTTATTATTTTTCATTTTGTTCTTCAGGAAGATGAGTTTTGTACCCTTAGATGCTAGGTGAAAAATTACAGAGGATCATGCCTCAAACTCTGATAGGCTTCCTTAAGATTTCAGCAATTGCAAAACTGCTCTTTAGTTCATTCAATAAATTATTACTGAGCACCATCTAGGTACAAGGAATTGTGTTAGATCCACTATTAAATGACAGTATCTAATAATCTCAATTCAGGCATCTCCCCTGCAAGCACCATGAACTACCAGATTAGGTTAATGGCCTCTTCTGTCTGTTCCTAATACCTGTCCATACTTCTATCTTGGCCCTCATGGAAGGTGAGGATAGCATTTTATTCATGTTGTTACCCCCACACAGGGCCTGGTAGGTGCTTTAGGAAAATTAACATAGTGGAAATATACAAAATGAAGTGGAAGTAGGAGAATATGAAGGAGGAGGTGAGTTGAAAAGGCACTGCATTAACTTAGGCAGGAAATAATAAAAGTACGAACTACTTTGGTGGCTGAGGAAATGAAAAGGAAGGAAAGGATGTGAGAAATACAACTACACTATATAAAGCTAAGTTTAATTAGACATGCACTTCTCACAAGTATTAAGCATGCATATAAAATAGGGAAAGGTCTTACCTAGAAAGTCTTTCATGCTAGAGAAAGGAAGAGACAAAACAAAAACAAAACCAGCATTAGAAAGGGACTGATAATTATTATTTCCATTTATAAATGCACTTTTCAATTCAGACGTCTCAACTTCACAGTTGCAGATAGGGGTGCAATTTAAGAAAAGCAATTCAACTGACTGCACAAAAGTCTACTTAGCTCACTAGATTTGAGACTTTGGGGGAGAGCATCTTTTTTAACTGGAAGTCAGCAAACTGTCAACTGACCAAAAACTACACTGTCTACCCCTATCCACCACATGACCAGCATCCTTGTGTTCTAGGAGGGACCAATTTTCTATATGGCATTTAACCTCTATGGATATCAATATCCATTCTGTTAACTTCCTTCAGTTCACCAACCTCCAACCCTGCCCTGAGTGAATACTGCAGTCTAGAAATATTAAAACTCAGGACAGTTCCTGGCTTTATCCTACATCTCTAGTAAAAGAAGACGAGTGAGAGGGTGCAGGGAGGGGGAAATCCCATCCTAGTCCCTAGGATGTTGGTTAAAAATTGAAAAGAATAAGAGAGTACTCTGAAGTCTCAGAAGAAAGGAATTTTAGGGGCGCCTGGGTGGCTCAGTGGGTTAAGCGTCCGACTTCGGCTCAGGTCATGATCTCACGGTCTGTGAGTTCGAGACCCGCGTTGGGCTCTGTGCTGACCACTCAGAGCCTGGAGCCTGTTTCAGATTCTGTGTCTCCCTCTCTCTCTGCCCGTCCCCTATTCATGCTCTGTCTCTCTCTGTCTCAAAAATAAATAAACGTTAAAAAAAAAAATTAAAAAAAAAAAAGAAGAAAGGAATTTTATAGATGCAAACTCTCAGCTTGGTTATCTATCTACGGTCACTGTAAATAACAAGAAATGATTAATGTTACATTTTTAAAAATCATAGATGACTGTGACACTTGTTTCCACTTTTTTTTTTTTTTTTTTTTTTTGAGGAACTCAGGCAAGTAAAAACTCAGTTGATTTGAATATATTTACTTATTTCCTCTTTGGAGGTACAGAGGAACAACCAAGTCCTCAAGCACACACAAAAGAAGGAAGAAGAGAAACAAGGGCCCAATAATCTATAAAATGAATAATAAATCCTTCAACTACTGAGGAGCTACTCCAAGACACTGCTTTGCTGAAGCGTTAAAGTCCCTGGAAACCACTGGTTTGTCAACCAACACAGCATGACACTGCAATATGCCACCCCCAAAGCTGTCCAGAAGTGTGGTGCAACAGCACATCTGACTAAAGAGGGACCAAACAGGTAAGCTTGCTGAAAAGTGGAATTCTCTCTCTAAATCAGAGGTTGTATTCACCAGAATTCTTTCATGTACTTTTTAAAATGTGCACATCTCAACCTCAATCCTAGAGATTCTCTTTCTGTAGGTCTAGAGTAGGGCCTGCATACACATATTTATTAAAAAGCCCCCCAGGTGATTCTGTTGTACAGCCCTAGTCAAGCACCATTGTACTAAATAAAGGCTTTTTAACATGAGGACGTGCCCCATTTGAGCTGGGGAAGCCAGTTAGAAAAGTATATGGTGTCTCTTTAACATTCTGATGCACTTGGAGTTGAGTATACGAAAACTTGCAAATCTGGAATTCAGGAATTTCCCTCATATTTATAAGCTAAGCTTCAGTGAGAGTCATATGCATATCCTGCACTATCAATTGCTAACTTATCAACACTAACTAAGGTTTTTTTCTCTTACCTGAAGCCTATTTTCAAAAAAGAAAATAGGCTCCCAAGAATTACTTAAATTACTTAAATTTTCTTCAAGTACTTTTAATTACTTAAAAATTCTTCAAGTATGCCCAAGTAAAACTGAAATGCTGGACTGTTGGCTATGCCCACTCACAGCTTAGTGATAAGATCTAGCCTTTAAGGCATCTGGGTGAATTTAAATTCACATTGCAGGAAAACTGTAAATTGTGACATGCCAAAGATTCATGAATTAAGAATGGACTCCACATGAGCAATGTTAAGGGTCTATTGAATTTAAGAACTCACTGCATGCAGGGGTGCCTGGGTGGCTCAGTGGGTTAAGCATCTGACTCCAGGTTTTGGCTCAGGTCATGATCTCACAGCTTCATGGGTTCAAGCCCCATGTTGGGCTTTGCGCTGGCAGCTTGGAGCCTGCTTGGGATTCTATCTCTCTCCCCCCTCTCTGCCCCTCCACCACTCATGCTGTCTCTGTCTCTCTCAAAATAAATAAATAAACTTAAAAAAAAGAACCCACTGTATGCAGAGCCCTGTAAAGAGGCACCAAGGAAGAATAAACAGAATCAGCTGCATGACAGAGTCAGGAGAGCACCATGAACATAACAAACACGCTCGTCTGAAGCAATGTAGGGAAAACATGTGAGTAAGTGCTAAGGAGGTAACAGTGGTAACCAGTGGGATCCAGCTACAAAGGCTTCCAAAAAGTCACGAATTTTAAGATAAGGTTACAGAAATACAAACACGTGCATACACACGTTTTAAAAAAACATGTTGTTATGGGTGGGGGGGGGGAGGGGGTTCCTTATCTGTGATCCATGCACTTATTCCCAGTTACATCCTCAGGGCCTACAGTGCAAGAACATGATAGGTGCTCAGTAAAGACTCACTGAACTAAACTGTTAATGCTTCTGGGAAGAAGCGTGATATCGTTGGCTGCACCTGAGTTCTAATTGTTGCTCTGACATCTTACTATGTGACCTTGAGCAAGTTACCACTTACTCTTACAGTAAGAACTAAATGTGATAGTTATAAAAGGAAGCGCATTCTTAAAATGTCAGCTTCCTCTCCTGCCCTCCCTCCCCTCCCCACCCCATTCCCTTTTTGGTTGTAAAAATACTATATTGGCTGCTGGGTTAGAGTAGCAAGTTAACTTAGGACCTTTGATGCAGGGAATTGTGCTCACAACCAAATGAAACAATTTAGGAGACCATTTACTTTCTCTTGCTGCTTCTAGGCAGAACTGCCTCTTTCAAACTTCATTATCCATATGGGAGAATAATTATTATTAATTTTTTTTTCCTTGGGAGAACCATTTGTGTCAGTTTCTCCAAAGACATTTCACACCATCTCTCAGGTATGGAAAGAGACCTATTTACAATCCAACTGCTCTGCCTTGTGCCGTCTTTTGCTTCTTCCTACTGAAATATAAGTCTATCTTGCATGGTGTGCACTAAGGCCACCATGTGGCCTTACTGAAAAATCATGCTTATTTATTGATTTTTTTATTCCTAAAATGTGGGACTTCGCTTGAAAATGTATTAGTTTCCTCTTTGCAAATATTTAATTTGTTGGGTAGGATTTTAGCTACATTTTCAGCTTTAAGTTGGCAGGCCAGCAGTGTAGACTCTGGCAGTTGCCAGCACAGTGAAGAAACAGTGTTTCTTTTCAGTAAGACAAGGACATTAGGATTTTACCAGGTATCCATCTTAGCCGTGATATATATATACATATATATATATATATATATATATATATATATATACATATATATATATATATATATAAAATAGCCATTTATACATATATATAAATGGTTAGCATTATAACCATTTCCACTGATTTATTCTATAAGAAGGACATGTGATTAACCTTTTTCATTTTAGAATGGTGGAAGCACTATGAAGCTATTTATGTCCTGTCAGCACCCAACAAAGTTCTCAGATACGTGTGTGTGGGATGGTAGGTGTATTATTTCCCATGGCCTCCACTAAGGAGGCTGATACAAAAATGAACACTTAAAAACAAAAAATGTCGGTTAGAGCTACCAAGCAGCCATCAGGTTTCTGCATGTGAAAAGGTAGATTCACAGGGTTTTTCAAAAGGGCCCTGAATAATAATGTCTCCACAGATGACAGCATGGGGAAAGGAAGGTATCTGAAGGATGCTCCAACCTGGGTGCTCAACCTGTGCTTGTCCTACTCATTCTTGTCCCCATGGGCATGCTTGCAGGACAAGGTTTCCCACAGACAACCACTTAAGAAGTTGATGAATGACACTGGTTGCCTGCGAGGAGGCAGCAAATATCACAGTCTGTTGTTTATCATTGTTTTTTAAGGCAGGTTAGATTTGTATTATCAATTGATTTGGGGTGAACTTTAATAAACAATGTCTGGGTGATGAGTGATCCAGTAGACATGAGAGTAGACAATGTGCCTAAATCGAATATCAGAAACAGGACTTTTAAAATCATTCATTTTACGCATAAGAACAGGAACAAGACGACATTGTGTAGACATTGCCTTGTAGGAGTAGAGCCCAGGCAGAGAGAGAGAAAGTTTGAGAGAGCCTGCCTTGTGATAATCCCCAGTGCCCTTGATTGGTTAGTGGAAATCACTGCATCCATCTGCACCGCATATATCTGTGTGGGCCAATGCAGGGGCTCAGTCTCTGGGCTCATGAGATCATGACCTGAGCCAAAATTCAAGTTGGATGCCCAACTGTCTTATCGCCCTAGTGACTTCTTTAAAAAAAAAAAAAAAAATTATTTATTTATTTATTTATTTATTTATTTATTTATTCATTTATTTATTTATTTTTGAGAGGGAGAGACAGCGTGGGCAGGGGAGGGGCAAAGAGAGAGGTAGAGAGAGAATCCAAGCAGGCTCCGCACTGTCAACATGGAGCCCAATGTCAGGCTCGAACTCACAAACCATGACATCATGACCTGAGTTGAAAACAAGAATCGGCTGCTGAACCAACTCAGCCACCCAGGGGCCCTCCAAAAGTAGGACTTCTTAATCCTTGAGCTCTCCTCACTACTTCTGATGTTTCTCCCCCACCCCCCACCCATGCTTTTACCTGACTTTTGGAGCTATCTGGAATCCCTGGGTTTTTTTAAATTGTTGTTTTCAAGGGCTACCTTAGCTATGTCCTGGGAAGGTCAACCCAACCAATTACAGGAGAATATATAAACCTCATGAATGGAGATGTGGATGCAGTAAGAGGTAGCATATTACCATAACACAGTATCATTTCAAAGAAGGAAGAT